AAAAGATCCTGAAACAGCCTAACTTCCTTACTCTCTTATACTTTCTTGTGGTCGACGAGCCCTGATTTGAGGACAATCCATTGACTCCTTTCTTGGGCTTACCTTAAACATCCTTAAACTTAAACCCCTCATATGTAAAGGCCTATGTATATTGATGGCGTCAACGAACAACATCTGGAACCGATTCCTTGAGCACTGAGGATCCAATTAGGATTCTGGTCCGTGGTTTATTAACTCTGAAAGTTGTATCCCTCTGGCACCTCAGCCACGCACACCCTGGGCCCTCAGAACCGCCGTCGAGTGCCAAGCCTGGTTGGCCTGAAGCTGAGTTGAACTTGAAATGCTGCTCATAGCTGGTCATAGCTGGTCATAGCTGGTCATAGCTGGTCATAGCTGGTCATAGCTGGTCACTGGCATTGTAATGAAATACTGCTCCTCGTAATGAGAAACTGTGAGGGCCCGCAATGTGTTTGTAGCCATGGTCAAGAACACTCATTTGGCAATCCCGTCGACAAGACATTCAATCAAACCAACAGATGGTTGACTCAGGACTGAGAGAAAGTCCAGGGTAGACTCCATTGTCTCCATCACAAAGGCCCACCAGCATTGGTTTGGATTTGAAACCCAGATCAGATTGATGTTTTTGGTTCCTCTTAAGACTGATGTAGAATCGAACTTCATATCAGTGTGTTTACAGTAGCAACAGAACATGTGACACATAGAGGTTCAATGAATTAGAAAGACCTCCAGGAAGAAGAGGTAAAGCTTGACAGACAACTGCTCTAGCTTCTCTTCATTGCATTCTAAACTACCGGCACCACCTAACCTGGTAGCAGGAAAATTGCGACTTGAATGAACTATTTTGCCTTCGGTATGTTGAACCTTCATGTTTGAACGTTTCATTGCTGCAGGCCTTTCATCCTTTGTTACCTACTGATGCATATTTTGGGTGGTTGAATTGTTGCTGTAGTTGATTTGCTTTCCTTGCAGGCCTGGATTAAAAGTGGTTGAAGATCAAAAGGATCCAATCTGGGGGATTGAGGCCATGACCATAAATCCCAACCCATGTGCGGGTTGAAACTCTTTCGTCGAGGTGAGTGAAAGGGTGGCTGAGGAGTACCTGGAGTGGGCGGCCCTAGGAGTTGGTCTTGTCACGCATATTCAGCCCCAGCCATGCAGCAAATCACGCGAGGAATTTCTTGGAAAGGCTAAGGAGGTGCTTTATAGTACTGAGTCTCATATTTAACAGCTACTGATTGTTGCTCTGCATCTCTCAGGAAGGCCAATTGGAATGTGGAAGCCGCACTGGACAAGGTGTTGGAAGACAACCCAGCAGGCACCGCGAGCCGGTTGAGGCTTCTTGAGGTTTGTTGGACAGCACAATTCTGCACCTTATGACTTCAAATATGGGTGGAACAATTGGAAAACATCTGAGTTTCAGCCCGGTGCCGGCAACTGGGTGACACGTTTGGTCCGTGTGTGGGCAGCTGTTCTGTGGCATGAAATTGAAGGCTACACATCTTGTTTTCTTGCTGTGATAGGGCAAGTCTTCTACTTCTGAGATGTTGCGCTTTGAACTGAGTATGGAACTCTCCTTGTACTCAGAATCTCCACGTGGATGGTTTCTAGGACTGCCAGGACATTCGGTTTGTTCTAGGAGAATCGTGCCAGAAGGGCCCGTGTTCGACCCAAGTTTGCAGTCAGGTTCAGCTCCCAAGTCCACGCCAGGGCACCCCAATGACTGAAGCATGACATCCATGACATCTTGTCTTGGGAGGTTGACATGGTTGACATGGTTGACATGGTTGACATGGTTGACATGGTTGACATGGTTGACATGGTTGACATGGTGGTTTCCAGATGGTTTGCAACTAAAAGGGTCAGCGAATGGGCGGCATCAATTGCCTCGCCGGCATAATATTTCCTGAGTCCATGAAAGTCACACTGGAATGCCAATTCCCTGCACCCGGTATACATTCAGGTTTGCGGCCATGAGACCCAATATTGATGTGCTTTCAGGTGCGATGTTTATGAACACGAGAACTTCATTCTGTTTGTGAGCCAATCTTTATTGCCATTTGTCAGTCCAATGATACGACATTTACCTAGCAAAGATTATCTAGTGTATATCTTGTGGGATATTCCCGCCAAGATGCGGAGAGGTATCATGACCGACCACGATAGGCACACAGGCAAATGATTTCCCTTGACCATTCCATGGGTAAATCCATGAATGAGAACACACAAGGCGTGATTCCATCGCCGGAATAAATCTGATAAAGTAGGTCTCACCCTCCAGTAGAATATCATGTGTAATCTATGGGGGTCCCATGGCTGAACTGGCAAGACAGTCTCGAGAGGTAAAGGCTGCCCGAAACTTTGAGGCCAAGCAAGCCGAGCGCCGCGCCAAAGGCCCTGCGATGGACATATTGATGTGTACTTCAGACATCTTCAGACCTTTGTAGAAATAAACAACACATCACCTTGAATCAACAGGTGGCCGAAATGAAACTGATAGTGCGACATAGTGGCGACATCGTGACATGGTGCGACATGGTGCGACATGGTGCGACATGGTGCGACAACAAGAGAAAGGGACCTAATAAGGGACCTACTGTAGGGACGACCTTCAATGAATTCAATGAAGCCTTCATGCCGATTTAAACCGATTTAAATCTGATGTCCGGAGCTCCATGCCACACAACGCAGTACAGAAACGGCAACAACTCTTCCATTCTGAGCTCCTTCAATCCGAATCTTGCCGCGATCTTCAAAGAAGGAAGACTATCCAATACATCCAATACATCCAATACCATCCAATACCATCCAATACTATCCAATCATTACTCTTCACCGCAATTCACCACAATTCACCATCGCCCATGGCATTTATGCCAGGCGTCTGCTCAAAGTAGTAGCAGTTCAGGTCCCTTTGAGTTGGTGAAGGGTACGGCTGGGTACCTTTGAGCCAAGACGCAGTCATGTAGTTAGTGGTGTCCAAACCAGAAAAATGTGATGTAGTGATTCTTAGCTGGGGGACAAGTTAGAGACAAAGTGGATTGCTGGTTGTAGAGCTCCTTATGTTGATGTGTCATTCCTGTGACTGAACACGTGTATGACAAAGCACTTGACTAGAAGTTTTTCCCCCCAAGCCTTGGAACCGTCAAATTAAAACTGTAGTGTCCTAAAGTTTCTAGAGCTTAAGACCCTGACAGTAAGCTTTTCAGACCTGAGCTGAGTTGAGGGTAGGTCAAGCGAATGCTGCTATATAAAGTATTCAAAATTGGGATCTTTGTGGCTTGTTCGGCACTTTTTGGGTCAGGACAAATGGACATAAGACATACCCGTGAAGTGTAACCGATCTCCTGGATGACCAGCAGATTTTTTTGAAGTGGTATCCCCTTTGACTCTATGCCTCTGCAATGCCTGGCAGGAACCACTGATCTTTGATCCCCAATTGATGCAAACGTTCTGGCTTCCGATAGCTTAGTCTACTATTCTGACAGGGTTGGACGCCACTACATATACCCTCTGGTTATTTAACATAGCTATATTTGATTGCCCATTTATAGATGATGTATGATGATTTACCTGTAAAACCTGGTTATTTTCCGTGGCTACGTTAAACAACCAGAGGGTATGTTGTGATTGGATGTATCCCAAGAATTGTTCACCAAGGTTTTTTGTTTTTGTTTTAACGTTTGGATCAGGATGGCTTAGTGAAAACTATTTCCGTCTATTTCTGAACATGTCTCTCCCCGGTTGGGATGATAAACCACCTTTCAATCACTTTGGGAATGGACAAAACACCAAACATAAATCCAGTTTGACAATATATCAGCAGGGACAATAACCCTGAGACCTGCCAGGCTGGGAGACTTTCCATTCTTCGAAGATTTGGAGTATTGTACCAGCCAGTGAACAAACTGATGCTTTAAGAGTTTCCTACAGCAGTGCATCTTTACAGACCCGCCCCTGACCACCTGATCGAACTTGGGCAGATTCAGAAGAAAGTTATTCTGAAGAATCCGAGGAAGAGGCTGGCGAAGGGTTGGGATGGCCAGCAATTTCTGACTGGCTAGGACCCAAGATTGATGAGTTTTGCAGTCCTTCAGTTTTGCTTTGCCAGAACCCATGGGCTCTACTCCCAACCACGATGGGTGCAAGGGTCGTTTTTGCGGTGGAAACCCAACTTGGAACAGCCCATCCGACCATCGGAAAGTTGCAGGAAGCCCCTCGAAAGGGCGGCAAAGGACTGACATCAGGGTGCTGTGTGAATCTTGGAGATTGATAAATGAACCATATTTCCTTAGCTTGTCGTGAACACACCAAATGCATCCAAATGCTTTCAGGTGGCACCATTTGTGGTTGTGCCCACGTTCAAAATCCGAGATTTTGTGTTCAAAGCAGGCCCCACATCACGCACAGAGGGTTCGGTCGTAGTATATGTAGTATTAATGTCGTATCTATTTCATATTTATATATTATATGTATTTCTCCCTTTGTTTAGCGTTCTTTGCAAGTTGTTTTGGCCAACTCTGAGGTCAACCAGTTATTGCACAATTTTCGCTAGCAATGCGCGTCTCATTCCTCATTGCCCCACGTCCTTCTTCTTGTGTCCCTGTTCAATGTTCAAAAATGTTCATTGATAAAATTCCTATTTTGATATTTTGAATGACCCAGTTCAGCCCTAGCGATGCTGCAGGATGGCCTCAAAATGGCCAGAATGGCTGGCCGAACTCCGGCACGTCCGGCAAAGGTGGGCTAGGCCCAGCGCCCTGTGGGCCTGGTGGGCCTGGTGGCGCTTGGCCCGACAGTGGCTTGATGTGATGTGGGTGATGCGGTGATTTGGTCCAGGTGAAATGTTATATAATGTTATGTAATTTTTGCACTTTTTTATTTAAGTGCTTTAAGTAGATTTAAATGATCAATCTATATAAAGTATTATAAAGTATCTATGAATCTATGAGGTATACAGTCATCCCGCCCAGGACGCATTGGGATAGCTGAGATTTTTGTTGGAAACCGCGACTATTTCTGGGTGGATTGTCCAGGGTACAGCTACTTAGAATGGGGGCACAAACTAACAAGTATGCGGGCGGTGATTGTGACTTGCTGGGCAGTTTTGGAGCATCAAGCAGCATCATACCGAATACTGACTAGATCAGGGCACAAGGGAAGCTATTTACTATCATGGGTACTGTAAGGCTGATAGCAATCACCTATCTCAGTGGTCTCCACGGTCAGCACTTTGCGTATACAAACACCTACAACTGCCGTTGAAGCCGGCTGACTGTGGTGGAAATGCCTGTGGAGCAGAATTAGTGGATTGACGCTCCAGGTTAAGAATTCGGCAATATTCGTTAGATTGATAAGAAATCCATACAAGCAGTGTGCGTGTGTGTGTGTGTGTGAACCCTTCGCACAGGGAACGGTGCCGACAATCGTTTGCTGCGACGCCAACAGTGCTGCATATAATTCACTGCAGGGGGGCAGAGGGGACTTGCAAAGCTCTGCCCAACGAAGCTCTTTGCAAGAATCCCAGGAAGCACGGATTGATCACCCGTGTGTACCTGCGCCAAAACAGTTTGAACTTGAACTGTTGATTTCTGTTCCTGTTCAATGCTGTGCCGTGTTTCCATTCACACAGTTTTTGAAATCTGTTGATTCGACCTTTTCGACTTTTTCGGCCGTTTCGACCTTTTCGACCTCAATTCGGACTTCGAGGAGCACTCCCTTTGGAAAGAGCTTCAAGTCTCAAAACCAGTCCTGTGTGTGTGTGCGTGCGCACCCCTGTGCCAGTCAGGTGATGAAAGTTAAGGATGTTCCTAGTTGTTGCGGATGGCAGTCCAAAACAATGAGTGGTGGACATTCTAGGTCATATCCCAATGCATCCTCCGCTAAGATGTCATAAAATGGTACAGCTGCGCAGTTAGCCATGAGACATATCTGCGTGTGGTCATCTCAATCTAAGCATGTTCCAACATGTTCTCATGCAAGATATCTAATCATGCGGGTTTGTTCATCAAGATAAATCGGCACAGCTTGGTTGAAGACCTCCATCAACCCATGAGACTCTGCTGAGGTGGTGGAGGTGGCGGAGCTTGGCCAGGCGGGACGGAAGGGACCGAAGGGACCACAGGGACTTGAGATCAGCACGCAGCACGGGCAAACCCCATGATTCTTGTCGATTTATCATTATTGATCATTATTCTTAAATGATCTTAAATGTACAACAGCGGGTGAAACAGTCATGGAGGTCTGTGGCGCGTGTTCATGAATATTCCTCTAAATGGAATATCATTTCATATCGTTTCACCTACGAGTTTCCAGATGTAAGTGACATTGATTGGGAGGACAAGGCCCCATTGGTTCAAAATGTCCAGGTTCTTCGAAACATGACCTTCTACTCAATCCCTCCGCAGCTCCACTACATGCCATCGTTTCATCATATGTTGTTCATATCTTGCCGTTTGTAAATTCGTGCCATTGGGCTCCAAAGGTTAAAACATGTTTGCCTTGGGCTTGTCTTTGTATGTGGTTGTGGGTTTGATTTGATGTTCTTTCAGATGTTCAAAGATTCGAGTAGAAACATATCCATCATTTGGAGGAGGTGTTAGGATCTACGCTGTTAAGGGTGGTTTTGACATGTTCTGACACTATCCTGGTCTCAAACGTTTTGTACGTTCCAACACCTCCTTGAAGATAAACTCAATGGATGTCCCCTTGCAGAATGCTCTGATATGCCTGATGGTTTTTTTTGAAGTAACGGGAAAGTCATGTCTCCCATTTCAAGTGAAACATGTGGCCAACACCCCTCTGGTGTGGGCGTTGCAGAGTTTTTGAGAAAAGTGTGCAATAGAAGAACACCTCTAGAATAGCATGTTATAGCATGTTATAGCCAGTCATAGATGAGACATAGAACACTGACTGTGGGTGCTTTCAAACAATATGTGTATGTTGGTGATTTCTGTCTCATGGAGTTTGTTCGCTGTTCTCCAATGCAATTTTTTCACCAGACGTCCTGGCCACAGGCGCCTCCTCGCCATTTGGCTCGGCCAGGGCCCCAGATAAGCCCAGGGCCATCAGTCCTGTACACCTTCCGGGTACTTGTTGCTCGTAAAAATGGTAGGTCTTGCGATGCACTAGGCTGACCAGATTTATGGTCCTGCGAAAACATATCAAAGCCCGGAGAAGGAAGGTGTTGTCACAGAAAGTCACATCAACCCTTGCGTTTCAAAGGCTGAACCCCCCAGACCAAATGGCTCAATATCAAAATAGATCAAAATTATCAAGGATGTTGTCACGTGTGCTTGCATCTCGCCGTTGTGATTCCAAAGTCCCGTTGGCCTTAAGGCTGGACCTTCCAGCAATGGTTGGGCGTTCCTTGCCTTGCATGAGCAAAACCTGTTTGTTTTAGAATTTAGTCGGATACGTATAGCAGGGTTTGCTGCGTGAATACGTTTAACAGGATACTGTAAGATTTGGGGGTGTTGCCGTCTAATGTTGAATCAGACCAGCTGGGATTGAGAAAACAGAGCGAGTGGACTCTTGGTTACGACAGGCTATTTGAGATGAGAGATCCATGAACTGGCAAAGCTAGCAATTTGTTTTTGTCAAATTGTTATAATAGGTGAGGAACAAGCGGGTTGTGGGCCCATGGACCATCTACAATCACTGCCAGGGCGATCCTTTAAGTGGTGATTTGCAGTATCCCAAACATTCGCCACCCTAACTGGATCATACTGGATCCATGGGTCAACCTATGTGCAAAGTACCCGAACCAAGGTCGAAGGGCGCAGGCCCAGGCGGCCCAGGCCCAGGTGGCCCAGGCGGTTCAGGTGGCCCAGGTGGCCCCGGACCCAGCGGATGGCCAAACAAAGGCCGTCTGGACATGGTGCAATGTTCACATATGATTCACATATGGTTCACATATGATTCACATATGGTTCACATATTGCTTTTTTACAAATTTGTACAACAAAAAGGACGAAATCGGGACAACAGCAATGGAGGATGGATTCCCGATACTGATACGTCGTAGGCTTGGGAGTTGCAATCTTTAATAGCTCCATGCTGAATCTATCGATATGACCACCCTCTCACATCGACAGAGACTGTCCGAGACCGGGCTCTTCTTGGGAAGAGCACTATCCTTGTTACGTCTCGACGTCTCAAGTCTCTGTGCTCCTTCTCAAAGCCTCATGCTCCATATGTATAGACTATAATTATCTATAATTACTGTACATGTTTGGGTGCAGATTAGGACCAAGAAACCTAGCCCCGTGGAAACAAGGCCACTGATTTTGGAACACACGGCGTCGAATTGATATTGGCACATATTGGCACCAACTGCTTTGCAAGATGCACCTCCAATTGGAAAGTGAAATTCTTGTCGTTTGAACTTCTGCGCACCCATGAAGCAACACACGGATCCCTGCAGAATCCATAACTGCTGACTACAGGTCACTGATGGTCACTGATGGTCACTGATGGTCACTGCCTGTAGCCCCGTAACGCCCCCCCGGATGGTATCCTCATGACCCAAATCTGCAGTCCATGGGTCTCGTTCGATGGCGCTGAACCTTCCACTGCAGGCGGTCCAGGTGGCGGCTTCGGCAAGGGAGGACGTGTGGAAGATCGATGAAAATCGTGGATTGTGTGCATAACTTATGCTCGGCTGATCAAAGTTGGGGTCGTCAAGGTTGACCGAACATGACCGAACCTTGTCCAGATTTCCTGGGAAATGTACCAAACGTTGATCAAGTTTCTGAACGGATAAAAAGTTCAGCATGCAGCAGTTTGAGATGGGTGCTTACATTTTTTACCCAGCAGTGAAATAGCCTGCAAGGGGACAAGGGGAGGCCAGGTATTCAATTGGAAAATGATCGGCTCAGGAACTTGAAGCCTTCACAGGTTTCCAGACGAAATGTTGTTTCCCTACCCGCCAGGTGAGGGTCTCTAGATTTTAACAAAGGCACAACTCCTTCTTCCTCTTCTCCTCCTCCTCCTCCTCGTTCTCCTCCTTCGTCCTCGTCCACCTTTTTTGTTTAGGGTGGGGATTACTCGAAATAAGGTAATATTTGTTTCAGGCCATGTGTAATAAGAGTCCCATTGCTGTGGAAGCTCCGAAACGCATGAAGTTGACCACTGTTGTCACCCTGAAATGACTGGAATGCTCAATGCTCAATTTGTTTATAATTGCAGGACCTGGCCCCAAAGGTGGCGATCCTTTTGGCTCACAGGTGCTGGGCATGGCTGGGCGGAGTTGTGCCCAATCCGACTCATTGAGGTGTGATCTTCCAAGAAATTGAAGGAAATTCATCTTGCAGGGTCACACACTTGTCTGGAAGTATCAAGATACCAATTGATGTCAGTTGATATTTAATGGTTGTAATGAAAGATGCCGGGCAAATTCGAGGCAAACGCCGGAGAAAGTATGATCACCTGTGCATTGCATAGATTTGGTAGTGTCTTGTTGTTCATGTACAGTAACAATTTTCTTTACCAAGTTGCCTGGAATGATTGATCCACTACTACTTCAAGTCAATTTAGAATCTAGAGAATATGCCTGCTTTGTTTCCACATGGTCCTTTCAGCATGTGATTTTGATTGGGGGCCATTCGCCCCTTAAATTCTTGTTGTGCAGATGGGTGTGCAGACTGTTCCTAGCCACGTGAAGTGTGGCTTCCCCATCAGTTGGTCATGCTGAAGTCATGCTCAGCCAGGCCTCTGCACCTTGGGGATCCAGGCGTCGAAGCTGGGGCTTGGGTGAACCTCTGGGATGGACAGTTTGGGGATGCAACAGGCCATGATCTGAGCATGACCAGCAACTCCTGACCAGCAACTCCAGCCACTTATGAAATTACATCACCAAATCCCCGTCGGACATTCGGGCTGATCCCAAAATTGTCTGGGCTCAGCCTTCTCTATACTTAAGCTTGGGATCCAGGGTGGGCAAAGAAAATGTTGAACCAGGCGATTTATACCCTACAAATAGCTATACAAAGATAGCCTAAGCACGTGCTCGGCTGGCAAGGGATCCCTCCTCCACTCCTCCAGGGAAATAACTGTAGATGTTTGCTAGATTTTCAAGTCAACCAGCGGACCTTCCACTGGAAAAACACGTGTATCGACCTTCCCTTCGTACATAGATTACGCCTTCATTTGGATCCATGTTATACCGTTATACCCCACTAGAACCACAGATTCCCAGCCAATTTGGGATCTACCATGGCATCCCAATTCCATGCCCAGTGCCGGATGTCCCTACAACTCTGCTGGGGCACCCAACTGGGTGGAGGCTGCGTTAAAGGGGAACAGCAAAACAAGGCCACGCCTCTTGCAATGGTCAGGACTGCAATTTGGCCCTGGGCCTTTGCAGCATTTTACAGCATTTTACACATAGCATTTTGTGTTCAATTTTACCCAAAGTTTCAAAGGGTTTCGAAGGCTTCCCGGTCGGGGCTGGAGACTCGCTGGGAATCTAAGTGTGGGAGGTCCTGAAAGCCTTTATCCCTGTGGATGTGTGGGGCGTTGATATTTACAGCTGACTTTGCTTGAACTTTGAGTCCTCGTATAGTAGATTCTCGAGCCCGCAATGAGGCGTGCCATTCCAACATCGTCAACTTATGCAAATCATCGCGAATCCCCAATCCGCACCAACGGTCATTTGCAAGTAAGGAGGCCATGACTGCTTTTAACATGTACATACATGTACAAACATATTTTATAGTATCATATACTGGTAGTAACATAGTAACTGCATGTAACATCATGTAACTCTTATACATGGTTGCTTGCATAACATGTTCTACACCACATGGTCCTACCATGTCCTACCCATCCATTTGCAAAGGCCCCCGGTGGCCCACCTGGCAAAGGTGGAGGTGCCTCATGTTTTGGGAAGATGAATTCCAAGTGACAAAAAACGCAGATCAACCCGGGAAAATGCCCATGTTCAAGGGCTGAAACGTTGACCCAAAGTTTGAAATTGTACTAGTCTTATGGGTCCAGAAAAGTCATTGATATGCCATTGGCGGCACAAATGTTGCAATGTTTGCCACTCTTATTGAAAAGCATTGCCAAGGGCCCGTCAGATGGGCTGCAAGCTTGTCTTGATCTTTGGTTTTCGCTCTAGGTATGGGGCTGGGTTGCTTCCACGCACAGCAATCACAAGTTCCACATGCAATGACTGTGGTACGTTCCTAGGTGATAACGATGAGTTGGATGCAAGAGACAGCCTACCATGCAAAAGATATGTTTTTCAAACTTATGTCGGGACCCAACAAATTGGATGACTTTTGCGCAATAACTGCGCTTGTATGATGATGACATAAACAGACGTAACATAAGCACTGCGGAAGCGTCTAGAGGATCAATGATGGAAAGGTGGCAGGCTGAGAGTCCGTCTCCGGTCGGAGCCCGACATTCCCCAATTTTCTGCATTACAAGCACCAAATGGGTTGGTTTCCATCATTCGAGCAACTTGGGGTCCTGTCAAAGCATGTGTCGCACTACAATTGGTGGCAGATGTAAGACAGGACAGAATTGGAATTGAATTTTATAGAATTGGCCAACTTGGTGGCACGCAGTTTTAGGAAACGAAGCTGTCTTTGACCCCTGGCATAATCCATTCGCTTTTGCCACGGGCTTCAGGCAACCCTTTTGGTGGCGGATTCGGCAGCCAGGTACCCGCACTACGCGATGAAACTGGGGATCTCAAGCCAGAAACTATTCCCTGAACTTGCAATATTGTGGGAACTTTGGGGTACCTTGAATTCCCTAGCCCTAATTTAATATATATATATTAGGTACCAGTGACTTAGGACTTGTGAAAGATACCCTGGGGTGGACAAGTCCTATCTCATCATGCTTCAGACCCCCCCTGCACAAGTCCCAACTCATCAGGTGTCCGTATGAGATTAGAAACTATGCTTGATTTTTTTTGTGCGGCATGGACCACCCGTAAAACTAGGATGACATAGGAATTAACTAGCAGAAGTATACTAAGATGATCCTAAGTCATCACGCTCGTGTGCTGCAGCTATTTGGCTATTTGGCCCATCTTCAAAAAAAAACAAAAATCTGTGATTTTCTTTCTTCTTCCTTCGATTTATGTACAGGCATTATTTTAAAGCAATTAAATAAAATAAACAAATTGAATATATGTTTTTTTTTTCACTTTTCGTTTTTCTCTGTTGTTTCCTGTTTGTTTTCCCGTTGTGCTTCCCTATTGTGGTCCCTGTTGTCTTACCCCGTTGTTCACCCCACTGCGGCGCCACAGGGACGGACTGCAGAGGCGACCGGGAACTGCTCACTTTCATTTTCCACCAACGCGCGCGCGTTGGCGCAAAACGCTCACCCCGACTCGTTGCATTGGGATCACCGCCCGGGGGGGACACCACGGGGAGACACAACGGGGAGACACAACGGGGAAACAAAACGGGAAACAAAATGGAAAAATGAAAACGAAAAAAAATAGAAAATTTATCTCTATAAATGTTAAATGTATTTAATACCTTGAAAACAATGTATGTATATAAATCGAATGAAAAATTGATGACTTAGGACCTGTGCCCATCTTCAAAAAAATATTTCAAAAATCTGTGATGTTCGTTTTTTTCTCCGTCGATTTACATACAGACATTATTTTAAAGCAATTTAATAAATTAAAAAATACATACATGTTTTTTACTTTTCTCTGCTGTTTCCTATTTTTCTTCCCGTTGTGCTTCCCTATTGTGGTCCCTGTTGTCTTACCCCGTTGTTCACCCCACTGCGGCGCCACAGGGACTGCAGAGGCGACCGGGAACTGCTCGCTTTCATTTTCAACCAACGCGCGCGCGTTGGCGCAAAACGCTCACCCCGACTCGTTGCATTGGGATCACCGCCCGGGGGAGACACCACGGGGAGACACAACGGGGAGACACAACGGGGAAACAAAACGGGGAAACAAAACGGGAAACAAAACGGGAAACAAAATGGAAAAATGAAAACGAAAAAAAATAGAAATGTTTTATCCATAAATGTTAAATCTATTTAATACCTTGAAAACAATGTATGTATATAAATCGAATGAAAAATTGATGACTTAGGACTTGTGCCCATCTTCAAAAAAATAGTTCAAAAAAGATATGTGATTTTCATTTTTCCTTCGATTTATATGCAGACTTTGTTTTTAAACAATGAAAGAAATTAACAAAAATATAAATATTTTTTGTTTTTTCATTTTTGAAATATTTTGTGGAATATATATATATATATATGTTTTTAATGCATTCTTTTTGTTTATTTATTTTTGTTTAACGTATTATGTATTGTAATGTAGTGTAATGTTCTGTACTGTACTGCAATGTACTGTAAGTATGTAGGTTCTGATGACTTAGGACTTGTGCCCCTCTAGTGAAAGACGATTTTGTGCACCAAGTCCTGTGCATGTATGTAATGTAATGTACTGTAATGTGCTATACTGTAATGTAATGTACTGTAGTGTAATGAGATGTACTGTACTTTACTGTAATGTAATGTAATGTACCGTAGTGTGATGTAATTTACTGTACTGTAATGTAATGTAAGTATGTAGGTTCTGATGACTTAGGACTTGTGCCCCTCTGGTGACATACGATTTTGTGCACCAAGTCCTTTGCATGTATGTAGTGTAATGTACTGTAATGTACTGTACTGTGATGTAATGTACTGTAGTGTAATGTAATGTACTACACTTTAATGTAATGTAATGTAATGTACTGTAGGGTAATGTACTGTACTGTACATTGCAGTACTGTAAGTATGTAGGTTCTGATTGCTTAGGACTTGTGCCCCTCTAGTGACAGACGATTTTGTGCACCAAGTCCTGTGCATGTATGTAATGCAATGTACTGTAATGTGCTATACTGTAATGTAATGTACTGTAGTGTAATGTGATGTACTGTACTTTACGGTAATGTAATGTAATGTACCGTAGTGTGATGTAATTTACTGTACTGTAATGTAATGAAAGTATGTAGGTTCTGATGACTTATTAAGAGAAGATTTGTTATTTGTGTTTAACCCGAAAAAGTGCTTAAGTCCAATCATAACCCCAGTGACTTAGGACTTGGTGCACACAAATCACCTGGTAAGAACACCAGTGACTTAGGACTTGGTGCACAAACTCCTATGTCACTATGGTGACTTAAGTCCTAAGTCATGGGTGCCTATTATATATAATATTATTTATATACACACATACATTTGTTCTTGGACATGGTGGGGCTGGAAAGTCAAGATCTGAGTCAGTAGCTGGAATGCTGCCAGAACTCTTGTTCCATTTAGGATGCAAGCCAACAGCTGGAGCTGGTAGGCTATGTGTCATAAGTTTGTCAAGAAGAAACTATCGAAAAGGGCCTACTGTGCATGATACTTCAAGCCTACTGTACATACTACTTTACCAAACAAAGCCAGTTTGGCGGGTCATAATTGAAGCCCCAAGTGCTGTGGCCAAACCATCCATTTTGATCCATTTTGAAGGTCCCCTTGATGGCCTGACCAGTTTGGTTTCAGAGTTTGACTTTTACACAGGAAGGACCCCCTTGAGCTGGGTAGTTCTATCATGTTTTATCAGGCTATATCCCTGGCTCACGGTTCTTGGCTCACTGCTTGGCCACGAGTTTGATCTGACTCTCGGACCGACTCGGAGCTACTTCCATGTTGCAAGGCACCTCAACCTCCCCAGAGTGGCAGCTTTGGGCCTCCTGGAAAAGGAGGTAGAAAGGGATGGCATTGATCCTGGTCTCTATAAATTGTGGATGTTCCAATGTGGTTACCCATGTGGTTGTGATGCCAAGTCATTTCCGGCTCCTCGTCGGAACCACTTTTGACTTGCAATCTTCAGACACGACTGTGAATGGTTTTTTTTGCACAAAAGAAATTGATCTGCAAGATGTGAAGTTTGATCGACATGTCAGGTTAGATCAGAATAGATCATTTGGTACATTTGGGGACACAATCAAATGTCCAGATTGACTTTTTGGATCTGATCAGTACTTCAAATCATGGGAATGCCCCAAAATCAGCGACAGGCTGCAGAAACAACTCGTGGTAGGAACAGCTTGGCCCATGAAGCAAAAAGATGTAAAAAGTATGTTCAAGGAAAATCCCCAGTTTCAAGATGTTTCCAGTTGGTGGCTGAACAAGAGGGCGGCCCTGACGCTGCAGGCCCCAGCCCGTTTGACAGTTCGAGTGGCTTTGGAAAGGGCGGTGCTAAGGGCCCCGGTGTGGGAGCCTGGTAGAAACCTGGTTGGATGCATCGGGGTCCAAGGGCGGGTGTGATACCGGCCCAAATGACTTTGTTTGGCTCCAAATCATTTATGTTGCTTTCTGATTGGGAATCCCACCTCCACCCATTTTGTGGTACAGACGCAGTTTGGTCAATGAGCGATGACGCATGAGACACTACGGAAAAAAGCTGACCATGAGGGGAAAATAGATTCCTGGAACTGTGCAGACTCCACCTGAAATCCATGATGAGTAACATCTCTGAATAAGATGATATGATATGATGATATGGGATACAAGTATTGTTAAACATCACCAAGTATCCCAGTTCTTGGGTCAGATGATGCGTCCCTATCGCTGCTGGCATGTGGCTGAGGACCTCAAGGAGGACCACCATGGGGCGTCAGAATCTCATGGGCGTGCAAGGATCATAGCTGAAGGAAATTGAGGGAATGCAAAAGCTTACAGCGTGACTTACAGTATATAAATCTATACATATAATATGCAACATGCAATATATATATATATATATACATTATATATATATATATATACACTATATATAGTGTATATATATATATATATACTATATATATTTACTATATATATATATACACTATATATTATTATATATATATTATATTATACATTATATATAATACATTATATATAATATATAATATATAATATATAATATATAATATACAATAAATAATATATAATATATAATATATAATATATGATATATAATATATAATATATAATATTTAATTTAGAATATACAATATAAAATATAATATAATGTAATGTAATATAATACGATGTAATATGATATAATACAATATAACATAACATAACATATTATATTATATTATATCATATTACACTATATTATATTATATTATATTATATTTTATTATATTATATTATATTATATTGTATTGTAGTGTATTATGTATATTATATTATATTATGTTATGTTATATTATATTATATTATATTATATTGTATTATAGTATATTATATCATATTTTATTTTATTATATTATATTATATTATATTGTATTGTGTGTGTAATAGTGTGGGTATGGCTCAAACCAAGCACACCAGAATCTGGATCAGCATCCAAATGTACTGGATTCAGTCTACTGTATTCACATCATTTTTGCAATGTGCACCTATGCACACCAAGGGACCATAGAGTTTGACCCCTACCAGCGTTCGTAGCATTCATAGCATCACTGATCAAGAGCAGCCCGGCAAACCATTAGTAGCGGCCAGGAGTTGCCAAGAACTTGAGCTCCCAAAGCTGATAAATTTGACTGACATATCAAGTACTTCACCTGGATTCAAGTTCAGATTTTCTCCAAACCTTCGCAATCAGCTTTTGAGAGCGATAGGTCCGCAACTGCTGCTGAAGACGTAATGAGTGCAAAATGCGAAGTAAAACATTTGTTTGGTCATGAAGGGCTTATAGTGGACGGTTGGAAATATGGCTGGGTGGCTACTGATTCAATAAACCAGGGGTCTACTGGCCACCAATCACTGACGGTCGAGATTTCTGAGAACTGCGGGGATGGTGAACAGGTGCGATACCCTCTGAATCCGTGACTGGTTTTACGTTTTGCAATGCCTAAAATCACCAAGGGGATCACCAAGATCATGGGATCTTTCAAAAGCGCCACCAAGGCACCCAAAGGAGGCCCTGGCCCTGGAGGTTTTGGTGGCCCTGGCGGCCCTGGTGGCCCTGGCGGCCCTGGTGGCCCTGGCGGCCCTGGCGGCCCTGGCTTTGGGTCTGGTGCCCAGAATATTAAATAGCTCCTAGAAACGATGGTTTATTATTGAATCTATTCAACTTGGGTCCCTTACTGGGGGTATTTCATGTCTCATGTTAGGGCATGGGATTATGATATATTGTACTACATACATATGTGATTGTGTGTGTATGACATATATATATATGTATACATACAATATATATTATACACTTACGCGTGCATGAAGTCATAAAGCAAGATGGAAACGGGTTGTAGTGGGGAGTGGCTGGTGCATGAAGTACTAGAAACAAGCGTGAGTTAGTGGTTAGTTTTTGACATGCCGCACTTGCTGATTGCGCTCCTGGCCTGATTGGTCCTTTTCGGAGGCCACCTTCGTGAGCTGGGTCAAAGGCAGCCACCAATGGCAAGAACCGAACATATGTTCCTGCTGGCATAAGTAGCATGTGTTTGACGTTGTTATACAGCTTTCTTTTTTTTCAAGTTAGATGATCCGACCCAAACCTGCATTGCATGGTGGAATGACGACTTTGAGCCCCTCAGGTCTGGTGGTGGCTGGCCAGGCACCAGCCTTGGAGCTAAGAATGAGCGCCATTTTGAAGGTTTTTTAAGCCGTTTGAAGCTGAAGCTGCTAGTAGTTGCACATATTGTCGAGGAACACTTGGATTGATCACCATTTTTTTTTGTACCATTTTGCATCCATCATTGTTGAATCATCATTTGAAAATATGCGAAACAAATAGAAAATTGAAAACCGTATCATACGACTGTATCCATCTGTATCCATTTGTATTCTGTACTGGTTCAGTGATGGCAGATCTCTTCGCCGCCAGGCCCACCAGGCCCAGGTGGCCCAGGACCACGCCCCGGCTTCGGAAGTTTAGGACCTGGGTTTCTGTGTCGGCGCATGAGTTTGCAGTTTGCCATAGTTTGAATCCACATCCAATTGGGAAGTATGCAAAAGCTGACAGAATCTGACAAGAATCTGACAGATAGCAAGTGATCAAATCCCAACATCACATGTTGCATGGTCAAAATAGTTCCGCTGGGTTAAGAGAATCCCAGCAGTAATTAGCTTGATTAGTCCCAAAATGGTTCCCTGTCCCGATTTGCCATGGTGAACTCACAGTTGGCCAGGATGGCTCAAAGCTTGTGTGACGCACCCCACCACGCTGTAGATGGCTAACAAGCAACATCTTGGATAAGCAATGCTATGATAGGAGGGGCACAGCTAAGTTTGTCAGCACAAAGTAGGTATGTGAAAGCACCTAGACGGGTTGTATGCTGTTGTCCAACCATTAAAGGTAGCGGGATACATTCCATCGTATTGGCAGACCATGACAAACCAGATTCATCCCTGATATTCACCGAAAGAAAAGATGCGGGTCTAAAATGCACCAAAATGATCAAAGTGAAGACAAACATAGGAAAACTACGGAAAACTCACTAGGTGAGGCTGAGCTTTGGGTGTTGTATCCTTGCTGCTCTTGCTGCTCCAGGACCAGCCAAAGGTGGGGAGCAGTTTGGTTCCGTGTCCCGGCAGCAAGTTTCCGGTTGTGAGTCTTGGGAGGCCGATTTGTTGTGATTTAGACTGATTTAGAAACTGATCTATATTGATTTAGACATATTTAGACATTTTACATCATTTTTCTGATGTATGCTAATGATTGCTAATGTACCATTCTGTACCATCTGACCATCTGGATCCATCTGGTATGAGGTCGGGATATGGCATTGTAATGTTTTGTGCTGTCAGAGAAAGGGGGTCACCCAGGTCACCCAGAGGATAGAGGTGGGTGACCGGTGACCGGTGGGTCATTGGCACCACGTTTGGTCTCGCCGACTCCTCGCAGCATGTTACACCAAGATCACTAAGGCTCCAGGCTGGGGGCCGAGGCACGGAGTGGACTCCTGGTTTGGGCGTCATTGCCATGCGGAAACGAAACACGATAAAACGGGATAAAAGCGGATTTAAGCAAGATGAAACAAGATGAAACAAGATGAAATGTCAAATAATTATATCAATTATACAGGTAAACCCTTCTGGTTCTTCATCCAACATGGGGGAGGGTCTGGATGAGCTTGTCTCTGTTTGCTGAGAGCCTGGAGTGATGGTCATGCTTATGATAATTGCAAACTAAACTTTGTGTTCATCATTGTTCATCATATCGATCTTTCCCAAGGAGGATGAGGGCCACCCCAAACTATCCAAACTCTCAGAAATGAATTTGCGTCGTGGCTCTTCTTGGACGGGGAAGTCGACCATTTTATTCGGGCATCGCCAGTTAGAGTGTTATTGGATGATAGTGAGCTACTATTGGCAATCATGTTCAAACATGTTCAAACTATTTTGTAATTGGGTCCACACCAAACAACTAACATCAACCGACAGAGTTCACTGCATCAATCTCTATCCAGCCCAGCGACCTCCCTCGACCTTGGTCCAGTTCTGGCTTCGACTCTATGCCAGTCCGGGTTCCAGTTGAAGCTGGACAAGGGGCCGTGGATACACCGATGTAGCCGATGTATATGTTCTTTTTGTTGGGGCGTGGGGAGGCAAAATTTTTACAACGTAGTGGTACTGATGATGGGTATATATTATACGTAATATTATGATATATTATATATCTACATATCCTTACCACACTCCGAGCAGAAATATTGGAGATGTCGCGAACTGATTTTGGGTGTTTATATATGCTGCACTATATATATATACACACACGTATGTGTGTATGTATTATAATGTGATGTAATGTAATGTAATGTACTGTAATGTAATGTACTGTACTGTAATGTAATGTAATGGTATGGTATGTATAGTATGTATGTATACAAATACACACACATAATGCACATATACATATATTGAGCATGATTGAGCGGAAGAAGGATTCTTGTGCGGAAAAAAAGGCTTCAACTCAAACCCATACTGAACCCATATTTTACCTGTACTAGTTAACCAATATTTTTTGCATAGAAACCTCAGGTTTGTGCCGAACCCGCGGGTTTTCCAAACCGTACTGAGCCCGTACTAAACCCACATTTTAGCCGTATCAACCCATTAATATTCTTTAATGGATTTTAATGGGTTTGATCGGCTTGGGAGCCAAATTTTGAATGGTCTGGGAAACATCGTAAACCGGGATGAAAATGAAATCTTTGCGCCAAACTTTGGTCAAATAGGCTGAAAACAAAACACGGGTTTCCCGCAAAACATTGGGTTTTTAGCCCGCCCTTTATTTTTAAAGATTTTGGTTGGTCAAGGTGTATATTATACAGTATATATATATTATACACATTATATAAGCTGCTATCTAAGTATCCATTGGATACCTCAAAAACGGAGGCTCATCGCTAAGAATCCAAAGACAATCCACCTGGATCGTTTCTAACCATCGGAAGACGTCCGACTTTAATGTGCAGCACTCAATCCACTGCGTTGAAAGACCATGATCAAACATACCATGGGATACTGTACCCACCAACCGATTCATCGCTGCAAGTGCTATTAAAGCACTTGATTCTCATCACTTGCTTTGAATTGATTGATACAGATGCTACAAAATGCTCCAGCGTACTGACTATGACACATAGTCACATAGTACAATATGTACATTTTCTGTACATCTGCGTACCGTATGTGTAAATACAGACAGGTCCGTACATGACTGTACATGACTATAGTACATGTGTGTGTGTGTGATTGACTGGATTAACCTCGAGCGGGGCTCAAAGTGTTGGACCCAGGGCGGCCAGCCAACACCTCGCGGTGGCTTTGGTGGACCACCAGGCCTTGAGTCAAAGAGAATTCCGTGCCAGAGACCTACATGAAATTTGAGATTCGTCTTTCAGTCTTTCATGCTATGTTTCATGATGTTTCTACGCTTTACCGTCATGGATTGTAAGATACTAAAAGAGTTGCGGACTTGTTGAGGAAGAGTTTTGGTTTGCAGTCCATTCGGGCCCAAAACACGGGAGCCGATGCGCCAAAATGGTTGATTTTTGGAGGGAAAGCCACGGAGTTGCGCTTCCAACTTTGCTCAACCGGCTCCCCAGTGAGTCTAACTTTGTCAATACCCACTTTGGTCCTCAGTTGAGTTGTCTTCAAGCAGATGTTTGCTGCTGAATTTTCCTCCACAGCACTTCCATCTACAATTGAGTGGATTCAATGAGCTACAGTCCTTATTTGTCTATGTAGCACGTATCTAAAACACTTGTGTTGCCAAATATATGGTTTACATATGTATACATATGTTTACATGGTTCAATTGTCTGCCTCAGATGATAACATGCAACTACCTGGGTGATGCGGCTCAACCTGAACACTGACAGCTTCTTATCGCAAATTGGTACGAATTGTTTGTATTCAGTGTTTCCTATTGTTTCCTATCATATTCCATCGCTCTCGGACCTATTTTCATCTATTTTCGGTATTTCAAATCGTCGGCTCCAATCCAGTGCTGAGTGCACAAGAAAACACCCTGGTTCAGGCGGAAACCCATTTGGAGGTGGACAGGCCGGGCAGTCAGATATTTGCACGGCTGGATATGATCCCAGCTGATCACACTCAACATGCGTTAGGGTTGTTGTGCTCAAGGTTAGCCCATGTTTTCCCCTGCTGTTTTTATTGGTCCTGAGTCCTGAGTTTGACTCTGTTTGAAACATGTCATAAACTAGAACCATTGTATGTGGAATGGCTATGTAACAGTGTTGTTGATTTCATTGAACAATGCTTGCCCTTTTTCATGTATCCATTTGATTTCGCTGGGACCTCAGCTGTCGACGGCTCGCTCGCATGCAGGAAACATTTGCTTTTGCTTTGCTTGCTTTTACCTTGTATCCCCTGCACGGTCTTGTTGATTGTTGTTGGTTTTCTTGATCTGTGATTCTGGTTCAACATTGGTAGCGGGGCCCTGAGGGGTTAACTCCGGGTTTTTATTCACGCTTTTTGGATTGGTTCTGCTTTGTTGTGTTTATATTGGTTTGGGACACAATAATAGGCTGCTTCTGCTAGTGACCTGCGGTCATGGCGACGGAGGAGACTCAGCCAGATCCCTTGCAGGGGCCGGGAGATCCTTGGATGACCAAGGAAGCGATGCAAGATGGTGCAGAAAAGGCAACAGCGTTGCCACCGAAGAGAGGAGGTGTGGATATGCATCCATACAACGGGGTAGAAGGAACACCTGGGAAGGGAAGTCCAGCGGGCTTACAAGAATCCATGAGTTCAAATGGGATTCCCCCAGGGTTCAAGAAAGAGGATCTTCATAGCTCATACAATAGCATTCCCACGTCTTTCATGCCACCTTTTGGAATGCCAACACACCCTTTTCCCGTTTTCAGTGCCTCCATTCCTCAAACGGGTTTTGGCACATTTGCGGGACCAATGGCTCCCAGTCTGAGTCAGTCAGATTCAGAAGAGCTGCGGTGGTGGAGGAGTCTTGCCTGGCTCAAAGGCGTAGGCAAAGGACAAGCACCAAAGACTGAGGAACCGTGGTCAGAGGTTCCAACAGATAGGGTGAAGAAAGAAGAGGAGACACAAGGCACGTCTGGAGGTGGTCGAAGGAATGCAGGTGGAGATAGGAGAAGAAGACAGAGTAGAGACTCAGGAGAGAATGACAAGAGGCAAGATGAGACCCCCAGACAGAAGGAGAGAAAAGAAGATCCCCAAGGACCACCAGAGGGTCCCCCAGAAGAGCCCAATGAGTCAGATGACCCGGAAGAGAGCTCCGGTTTCAGTTCATCAGCCCCCACAACTGAGTTGAGAAGCATGCTGAGGAGACAGGCGAAGGTCACTCAAGACCGTCCAAGATCCTCGCTAGGATCAGTCAAGATTGAGGAGTTCTATGGCGATCGACACAAGTACCTCAAGTGGAAGAAGGCGGTACAAGCGCAAGAGGTTTTGTACCGCCTGGAACCAGAAGAACTCAGCATGCTGATCTATCTCAGCACAAAGAAGGATGCCAGAGATGTCTTGGATCAAAAGCCCATCCAAGAATATACTCGCCCTGGAGGAGTGAGACTCATCTGGCATTTGCTGGATGAGGCGTTTGGCGAATCAGAGGAGGAGTTGTTTGAACGAGCAGAGCAAGAGTTTGCAACATACCGGAGGCTTCCTGGCCAGAGCATTTCCACCTTTCTGGGCCAGCTGAAGAGGCTGAAGGCTCAGTACATGAGGGTGGACCCAGAGAGCACAATGTCAGACAGAGCATGGTCTCAAAGGATGCTCAACCGAGCATCCTTGTCACGCCGAGAGAGGCTTGACGTCTTTTTCTCAGCTGGAGGGCGCTACACGTCACAATCAATTGAGACTGCACTACGACATCGATGCGGCCGAATCCATGAGGAAGAGAGAAAGCTTCCCAGCTATGGCTTTTCCAGAACTCCAGGAGCTAAGCCATACTACAAGAGGTCACAACAGCACAGCAGGGGCGCGACAAAGAACAAGAGGCCAGAGAAGAAGACCTTCTATGAGGACAAAGACGCAGAAGAAGAAGAGGAGGCAGAGGAAGATTTGGAGGCAGAAGAGGATCCCTATCGGGAGTACATAAATGACACAGGCAACACGCAAGAGGTCCTGATGGAGATCCGTGAAGAAGACGTAGATGAAGACGAGGAAGATGAAGAGAGCTTTCAGGATGATGATTTGAAGGAAGCATGGGCAGCAGGATGGAGGGCTAAAAGCCAACAGAATGAGAAGAAGAAATACCGAGGATGGAAGACAACAAACAGAAGCTCCACAGGAGGCACTGGGAATTCCATCTCACCAGACAAGAAGAAGATCAACTCCACCTGCTCGTCATGCGGAGAGAGAGGGCATTGGAGAGGAGATCCCCAATGTAAGAACGTCCAAACAGGCAAAGACAAGCCTCATAAGAAGAAAGAAGGTTCGGGCTCAGGTGACGGAGGAGGGGCAGTGCACTTCACGTATGTGGTGACAACGACAAAGAAGGTGAAGACTGAGGTAGAAGAGGAGAAGACCACCACACAAGAGGAGCCAGGAAGATGCACTAACCCAGATTGCCGAGGCAGGTTGAGGACACAAGACAGGTTTTGCCCAGCCTGTGGCATGAGAGTCGCAGGAGACCTGAGCATGAGAGAGAAGAGAGGTTGGGAGGTCATCAAGGAAGACGAAGAGGCAGATCAGGGTAGCTCAGCAGGTATTCTGGAGGTTCTGTCATCAGGAGATGAGGAACAGCCTCCAGAGTTCAGGTATGAGATCAGCAGAAGCCAGCTGAAAGAGATGCTGGGCACCACACCGAAACCAGAAGACGGAAGGTCTAAGGTGAAACTGAAGCCTGAAGAAGTCTTGGCGGCTCTACCCAACATGTCACGCTCCGAGAAGAAGGAGCTCAGAAGACAACTACAAGAAGGTGAAGAGGATCGGGCATGGAGGACCTATAGCCGGTATCGAGAGGTTGACGGCATAGGCGTGGATGAAAGAGGAAGACCTTCAGGAGCATCAGGAAGTGGCTATCAGCCTGACGAGCAAGCACCGATAAGGCCGAAGGCAAGATCTAAAAAGGAAGAGTTGCCGAAGGCGGTGAAGACAAGACAGTTGGACAAGTTCCGGAGGGGACTGTATGAAGACCAGCTCCAGGGGGACCGCCTCGTTCCATCCACATGTGCACCAACACCCACAACAGCACAAGCCAGGTGTCACCACCCCTTTGAGTCCATCCGTTGGAGTGCCAATGCGGATGGCCACTATGGCAGGTGCAAGGCATGCGACCTACGGCATGTCATCTACTTCAGTGAGCGACATGGCGCACTGGTAGCAACTACAGCACAACAACCAGCAGTGACTCTGAGCAAAGAGCACGAAGCTACAGCACAACAACCAGCAGTGACTCTGAGCAAAGAGCACAAAGCTACAGCACAACAACCAGCAGTGACTCTGAGCAAAGAGCACGAAGCATCAGCACAACAACCAGCAGTGACTCTGAGCACAGAGCACGAAGCATTTATCACCGGAAACTCTGGTGAGGCCATAGCAGACAGCGGCTGCAGGTGTGCAGTTGCTGGGCAAGCCTGGCACACAGCAATGCAAGAGGAGCTCAAGAGGAAAGGAATGACCTGGCATGAGGAGAAGGAATCTGAGACATTCAGATTCGGGTCTGGTGACCCTGAAACAAGCAACACAGCATACATCTACCCAGTAGGCATATACGGCAAGAACGATCTTGTCAGGATGTCATGTGTGGGAGGCGGTGCCCTCCACTGCCCTGGACTGGTGGGGCCAAGTGAGCTCTCAAGATGGGGAGCGGTTGCCCGGTTCCAAGACCGGACTCTGGAACTCAAAGGGGAAGTCAGGCCCATGAAGCTCACATACACCCGACATCCGGCCATCGACCTGATGGAGTACCAACCAGGTACAGAAGGAGCACAATTCTGGACGGATGCATCCATCCAGAGCCAACTCAGGACCCTAAAGTCCAAACCACACGCCTGGGCTTTCGTGGCCGAGGAACACAAGCACACAGATGATGAGGAGGCCAGCACGGACACGGAGGTGGAAGAAGAAGAGGATGATGAAGACATGGGCACCAGGAAAAGGATGATGAGAAAGTGGATGGCAAAGCTGGATGAACACCTGCACAGTTTACCGGGCAAGACTCTGAACCTCGAGGAATCAGAAGAGGAAGAGAGCTCCGGCGTCAGCTCAGATGGAACTGTCACTTCCCATGAGTTTGGAATAGAGCCATGGGAGACTGATGAAGATACAGATGAAGAAGAGCTGATGGAAGAACAGGTGTATCATCAGAAGCAGATGAGTAAGCACGAGAAGAGGGCTTTAGGCCACAACACAACAGTGCTTCGAGATGTATTGCAGGTAGAAAAGAAAGGAAAGAAGAAGGATAAGAAGAAAGATGCGGCAAAGCCGAAGGCCCCAGTCAGGAAAGGTGGACCATGGCGGGTCTTAGAAGTCTTCACGTGGTCTTGTATGGTTTCAATGGTAGCAGTAAAAAGAGGATGGCAAATGCTGGAGCCAGTCACGCTCCCACACTGGGATCTACTTGATCCAGCACAACGAGAGCAAGCACATCGATACATCGATGAAGCAGCACCAGACCTTTTGGTCATAGCATGGCCATGCAGGCTGTGGAGCCCAATACAAGCACTCAACTACAAGACCACGGAAGAGAAGGAGATACTGGGTGCACTGAGGCAAGAAGAAAGACCGCTTTTGGACTTTGTGAAAGAAGCCGCTCAGAAACAAAGAGCCCGAGGAGGAGCAGTTATGGGCGAGAATCCAAAGCGTTCAAAGGCTTGGAAAGAACCGCCCATTCAAGATGCATTTGAAGGACTGCCCCATGTAGACACAGACATGTGCGCTCACGGGCTCCAAAGACCCGACAATGGATGCCCAGTGAGGAAGCCTACACGCCTAGCCGGCACTCCAGAGATAATGAGGAGATGTGCCAAAACATGCAACTGCAAGCAGCAGCACGCACCATGCATGGGAGCAGTGAAGATTGATGGAAGGTGGCAAAGCATTGCCGCCTATGCAGGAGGATATACACGACAATTTGCCACTCGGGTGGTAGAAGGTGCAGAAGAATACCTGAGAGGGACAAGAAGATATGCAAGGTGGGCCACATCAGAGCATCTGCCCGAAGAAAGGTTTGTAGCAGTAGATGACTGGGACGGCGCCGATATAGAAGAGGAGTTTCGGTCGCCAAGACAAGAACAAGAACAAGGAGAGACACAGGAGACAGAACCCAGAGAGGAAGAAGAAACAGACCAGGAAGAGGCAGTGCCAAAGAGAGAAGAAGCACCTGAAGATGATAGAAGGAGACGTCAAGAGGCCCGGATTCGGGCCAGAGAACAGATGGCAGAAGATGCCGGAGAGGCAAGAAGAGAAGACTTAGAGAAGATCAGGAGAATTCACAGCAGGATGGGACACCCGTTAAAGGAAGCATTGAGGAGGATGATGAAGCTGGCGGGTGTACCCAAGAGGGTGGTTGACACGTTGGAGAAGTTCCAATGTCCAACATGCGACAAGATGCAACCCCCATCAAGACCAAGACCACAGAGGTCTGATTTGAGACCGACAGTCTTCAATGAATCCCTGCATGTGGATCTCAAATATGCAAAGGATGTGAAGAAACAATTGTATGTAGCTCTCTCAATGGTAGACGCAGCAACAAACTACCATCAAGCAGCCCTACTGAAGACAAGAGACCCCAGGCATGTAGCTGAACACATGCTTCTAAGATGGTTCTCCATGTACGGAACGCCAAGGGAGATTGTCTTAGATCAAGGAGGAGAGTTTGAAACAGAATTCATCAGCGTTCTGGAAGAACATGGGGTACTGTCCAAGGTCTCAGGGGCGTATGCCCCATGGCAGAACTCATTTGCCGAACGACACGGGGCAATACTCGGCGTTGCTTGGAACGCTTTGGTTGTGGAACACCAAGTCACCGACAGGAAAGGGATGAAGACAACCCTCCTGTGCGCCATACAGGCGAAAAACCAGACGGTGACACGGCGAGGGTACTCAGCAGAGACCCTGGTCTATGGAAGAAACTCCAATTTTCCAGATTTGCTGGATGATGACGCCATAGACAACACAACACTAGGCCAAGCACTGAGCCTAGACACACAAGTAGCAAAGCAGGCAGAGATGAGAGCAGCAGCCAAGAGAGCACTCTTGCATCAAGATGCACAGCAAAAACTGAAACAGGCAATACAAAGAAAACCTGGCAATCAGGTGAGAGAATATTTGCCAGGTGAGAAGGTGTACTTCTGGGTCCCAGGTGCCAAGAGAGTACGTTACCGAAAGGACGCAGGAGTTTGGAGAGGGCCTGCGTTGGTAATAGCGCGAGAAGGACAACAGAAGTACTTCATATCCTGGAGAGGAAGATGCTTGCTGGTAGCAGCCACAAATCTCCGACCAGGAACGGTAGAAGAAGCCGAAGATGTGGCGGCTAAAGAAGAAGAGGGGAGACAGTTTGATGAGCAGATGCAGACACAGAAGACAATAGAGGAGATTCAGAAGGCAGAGCCCCCTGATGAGGAAGGGGATGGAGAGAAATGGAAGACAGAAGGAGAGGTTTTGAGGAGGTCAGACACAGGAAGCACCAAGGAAAGAGCAAAGGCCATGATGAGAGGCCTGAAGACAGTCAGGAAAGCACTTGAGGAACCCAGGTTAAGACGAGAATACAGGAAAAGAAGAAAGGCTGTAGAGCCAGCACGAGAGGAGCAAGAAGAGACACCAGCCGAAGCAGAGACAAAAGAAGAAGAAGAAGAAGTGTGGAAAGGCATTCACGAGGCTGAAGAAAGATATGCCAGAGAAGATGAGAAGAGAATCCGACGGATTACAGAACAGAGAAAGACCCTGCTAGATGATGTACCTGAGTGCATGAAGAGGAGAAGAGTAGGAGAAGTAGATGAGCAGCAGGTACAACAGAGGTTGACTCAGGGGGTCTTTACGTATGTCCAGAACGTGGTCATGGAGGAAGAGATTCAAGAAATGATGGCAAAGAAGGCACAACAGCAGATACAAGAGAGACGAGGCTGGCGGAAGAATGAATGGATGAAAAGAGAGGAGGTAGCAGAGTTGGCTAGATTGCTGGATTTGCCAATTTCAGCCGTGAGGATACATCGACAGCCTAGAAAGAGGCTACATCCACCGCCAGCCGGAAAGAGAAGATCACGTGTGACAGTCATGCTTCTCGAGCAACAAGGGGAAGCGATGGTTCTCACCGAGAATCAAGAAAAGACAGAGAAAAATAAGAAGACAAAAACCCCCATGAGCTGGAGAGGAATGACACTTTTCCTGAAGACAGGAAGAGAAAAAGAAGAAGAGAAGGAAGAAAAACAGGCATACATACAGATTGGCGATGAGGTGTTCGCCACTCCCTATGAGGATTCAGCCCTCTGGCAAGCCTTTGTCAGAAGAGAGGAGGAGATGAAGGTTGCGGCAGAGGCACTTCTTTTGAAGATGAAGGCATCAGGTAAGGAGTTGGATCCCAGGTTCTTTGACGAGGCAGAAAAGGCTGCTTTCAGAGAGAGTGATAAGAAGGAATGGGAGTCCTGGGTAAAGAACTCAGTGCTCCAAAGACTCACTGCCAAAGAGGCTGCACAAGTTCCAAAGAATCAGATCTTCAAGGCCCCTCTTAGAATGGTCAGGGTCAACAAGGGCAAGGATGACACAGACCTCAAGCCGAAGAGCAGGCTTGTGATTCCGGGGCATTTAGACCCGGAGCTCGGGGGCTACAGAACAGATAGCCCAACCACCATGCCATGCGCTGTGCGACTCTTGAAAACCCTGATCGTTGCAAAAAGTGGTCAGCGTGGATTTTCGATGTTGCTACGGCCTTCCTCAGTGGAAATAAGACAGAGAGAACAGTACATGTGAGAGCACCACCAGAAGGCTTACCAGAAGTAGAAGGAATGTCCAAGATTCGTCCTCACGAATTACTACGAGTGATCAAAGGAGCATATGGACTGGCTGAAGCACCACGATTGTGGTACTTGAGAGCCTCCGAACTTTTGGAAAAAGCCAACATGCAAGAGCTCAAGTTTTGCCGTTCCACCTATGTGTTATTGAATCAGTCTGGAGCTGTTGTAGCAGTTTGCTGCATGCACGTAGATGATGGCTTCATAGCAGGTGACCATGGAGATCCAGAATTCCAGCGTCTGCTAAAGGCCATCGACGCTGATTTCAACATCAAGGAGTGGCAAAAGCTTGGCAAAAGGCCGGTGAGTTATCTCGGCATGACTGTGACGTACGACGAAGAAAGAGGCATCATCATAGATGACATGACTGAATACATCAATAAAATTCAGTCAGCAGAGATCAAGGGTATCAAAATGGAGGAAAAATTGAGTGAGAATGATGTCACGAGATATCGGAGACTCGTGATGCAAATGAGATGGCCTGCACAGCATGTTGTTCCGGAGCTCATGAGCACTATCAGTCTTCTAGCGCAAAGAACTACGAGAGCCACGTATGCAGATCTGAAGAAAGCAAACAGTGTTCTGGAGCAAATGAAACTCATAGCTGGAAATGGCCAAGCCAAGATCACATATCACAGGATTCCTGATGATCCCATGTTCATCACCTTCTTTGATGCCTCATTAGGAAAGAGCACCATGCAGTCCGCACAGTTAGGTGAAATTCATTTTCTCACAAGCGAGAAAGCAAAAGTGGAGCCATCGAAAGCCAATATCGTCGAGTACCATAGCAACAAGATCAGCCGAGTGGTGAAAAGTTCATTGGCCGCTGAGGGGTGTGCCATGACAGCCGGTGCTGATCATCAACTTTTCTTTCGTTTACTTTGGGATGCATTGTACAGCGGTAAGTTGACAGTAGGTTCCAATTGGAGAGCGGATTTGATTTCAAAGGGCGCTCTGGTAACGGACGCCAAAAGTTTGTTTGACCACTGCCACAAGGTTGGTCACATGGCAGCTGAACGTCAGACTGCCTTAGATATTCTTTCAGTCAAGTTGGCTATTCAGGATGGTCTTTTAGAGCTGTTTTGGACTCCAACTTTCAAACAAATAGCAGATCCACTCACGAAAGAAATGGACTTTGAATTGATTACAGAGTGGAAAAGATCTGGCAAAATTTGCTTGGTCAGTACAGAAAACGATTTGCAGGAAGAACAGAAGAGGGCAAACATTAGAAGGGGACAAAGAGAACGCAGAAACGCACGTATGAAAAAGGCCAACACTTCTTTACCCCTGTGTTGATTTCATTGAACAATGCTTGCCCTTTTTCATGTATCCATTTGATTTCGCTGGGACCTCAGCTGTCGACGGCTCGCTCGCATGCAGGAAACATTTGCTTTTGCTTTGCTTGCTTTTACCTTGTATCCCCTGCACGGTCTTGTTGATTGTTGTTGGTTTTCTTGATCTGTGATTCTGGTTCAACATGTGTATCCAATCAGGAAGGGAGAGAAGATTGTACAACAAATTGCAAGCATAGTCAACAAACTCTTGCCAGGCATGGTTTAAGGTTGGAACAATGACTGGTGACTCGCGGCCAGCCGGTCGAATACAGAAGCGTAATCTCTTTGATAACAAGGCTTAGGGTGGTTGTATGCAAGCAACCAACAAGCATATCCATCATGGGATTAGATACGCTGAACATGCTGATACTTATATTGACTGGTGTGCAGGAATTCTCCGAGCAAAATGCTGGGAATGCGTCTCCTGATTTCTGATGAAAAGGGACAGACCACCAGAAAAAACTACGAGAAGTTTGTAGACGTTATTAGACTGTAGGTATACTGTAGGTGCTGCAGGATATTCATGAGTCGTCTCCGTGTGGAGTTTCACTGATGAGTTCCTTAAGACCGGGTTACTTTAAGTCTTTGACTGTCAAAATTGAGAAGCCCCCAAACCCGTTGAATCAGGTGATGTGTTTTTATGTCCGCCCAGGGATTTGAAGGACCGAATTTGAAACATATCCATATGAAAAATGCTCGTGAACATTCAACCAAAAGGCATCAAAAGGCATTCCCCAAATGAATCCAAATGATAAATTCAATGGATAGCACTCTGGGCTCAGCCAGGCACCTGGCGGTCCCGGAGGCAAGTCGGGCCCAACTCAGAATGAGTCCGTGGGTGAAAAGAGGCAGTTGCGACCCCAAATAGGATCAGTTTGGGTCCCCCAAAGAGGCACCACCAATTCCTCTGCTCATGGAAGACCAGAGCAAGAAAGCCCGTCCAGCAAAACAAAAGGAACGCCAATCTCGGTCACTCCCACTTCTACTTCTTCTTCTTCTTCCTCCACTTCTACTTCTACTTCTTCTTCTTCTTCTCCTTCTTCTTCCACCTGTACTTCTACCTTCTTCTCCTTCTTCTTCTTCCACTTCTACTTCTACTTCTTCTTCTTCTTCTTCTTCAACTTCTACTTCTACTTTTACTTCTTCTTCTTCTTCTACTTCTTTTTCTTTTTCTTCTTTTTTTTCCGCTTCCACTTCTGCTTCTACTTCTACTTCTTCTTTACTTGATTTTCTCTTCATCGACTTCTTCTTCTGCTTCTACTTCTACTTCTTCTTCTTCTTCTACTTCTACTTCTTCTTCCACTTCTACTTCTACTTCTTCTGCTTCGTCTTTGTCTTCTTCTACTTCTTCTACTTCTTCTTCTTCTTCATCGACTTCTTCTTCCACTTCTACTTCTACTTCTTCTTATTCTCCTTTTTCTTCTTCTTCTTCATCGACTTCTTCTTCCGCTTCTACTTCTACTTCTACTTCTTCTTTTTCTTATTCTTCTTCTTATTATTCTTTTTCTTTTTCTTTTTATTCTTCTTCCTCCACTTCCACTTCTACTTCTACTTTTTCTTCTACTTGATCTTCTTCTTCATCGACTTCTTCTTCCACTTCTTCTTCTTCTTCTACTTCTTCTTCTTCTTTTTCTTCTTTCTCTTCTTATTCTCTGTTTTTTTTCTTCTTCTTCTTCCTCCACTTCCACTTCTACTTCTACTTCTTCTTCTACTTGATCGTCTTCTTCATCGACTTCCTCTTCCACTTCTACTTCTACTCCTTCTTCTTCTACTTTTTCTTCTTCTACTTTTTCTTCTTCTTCCACTTCTACTTCTATGGTTCTACTTCTGTTTCATCTTCGTCTTTGTATTCTTCTTCTTCTTCCTCTTCTTCTTCTTCCACTTCTACTTCTACTTTTACTTCTTCTTCTTCTTCTTCTTTTTCTTCTTCTTGTTCTTTTTATTTTTATTTGTCTTCTTCTTCCTCCACTTCCACTTCTACTTCTACTTCTACTTCTTCTTCTTCTACTTGATCTTCTTCTTCTTCTTCCACCTCTACTTCTACTTTTACTTCTACTTATACTTCTTCTTCTTCTTCCACTTCTACGTCTGCTTCTTCTTCTACTACTACTTCTTCTACTTCTTCCTCCACTGCCACTTCTACTTCTACTTCTTCCTCTTCTTCTTCTTCTTCTTCGTCTTCGTCTTCGTCTTCGTCTTCGTCTTCTTCTTCCACTTCCACTTCTACTTCTACTTATTCTTCTGTTTTTTGTTTTTTCTTCTTCTTCTTCCACTTCGACTTCTACTTCTACTTCCTCTTCTTCTTCTTTTTCTTCTTCTTCTTTTTCATCGACTTCCTCTTCTTCTTCTACTTCTACTTCTTCTTCTTCTTCTTCCTCATCGACTTCTTCTTCTGCTCCCGCTTCTACTTCTACTTTTACTTCTTCTTCTTCTCCTTCTTCTTCTTCTTCCACTTCTACTTCTACTTCTTCTTCGTCTTCGTCTTCTTCTTATCCACTTCTACTTCTACTTTTACTTTTTTCTTCTTCTTCTTCTTCTGCATATGTTTTTCTTTTATTTGTTCTTCTTCTTCTTCCACTTCCACTTCCACTTCTACTTCTACTTCTGCTTCTTCTTCTTATTCTTCTTCTTCTTCATCGACTTCTTCTTCCGCTTCTACTTCTTCTTCTTCTTCTACTTTTTTCCACTTCTTCTTCTACTTCTACTTCTTCTTCTTCTTCTTCTTCTTTTTCTTCTTCTTCCACTACTACTTCTACTTCTACTTCTTCTTCTTCTTTTTCTTATTCTTCTTCTCCTTCTTCTTCTTCCACTTCTACTTCTACTTCTACTTATTTTTCTTATTTTTCTTCTTTTTTGTCTTTTTCTTCTTCTTCTTCTTCTTCTTCTACTTCCACTTGTTCTTCTACTTCTACTTCTTCTCCTTCTTCTCCTTCTTCTTCCACCTGTACTTCTACCTTCTTCTCCTTCTTCTTCTTCTTCTTTTTCTTCTTCTGCCACTTCCACTTCTACTTCTACTTCTTCTCCTTCTTCTTCCACCTCCACTTCACGTTTACTTCTACTTCTTCTTCTTCTTCCACTTCTATTCTTCTTCTTCTTCTTTTCCTTCTCTTCTCTCTCTTCTTCCTCTTTCTTCTAGTCAATTTTTACTTACTTTTACTTTCTACTTCTTCCTCTTCTTTCTTCTTCTTCTCTTCTTCTTCTTCTTCTTCTTCTTCTTCTTCTTTTTGTTCTTCTTCCACTTCTACATTTTACTTGTCTTCTTCTTCTTCTTCCTCTTCTTCTTCTTCTTCTTCTTCTTCTTCTTTTTGTTCTTCCACTTCTACATTTACTTTTTCTACTTCTTCTTCCACTTCTACTTCTTCTTCTTCTTCGTCTTTTTCTTCTTCTTCCCCTTCTACTTCTACTTCTTCTTCTTCATCTTCTTCTTGTTCTTCTTCAACTTCAACTTCTACTTCTTCTTCTTCTTTTTCTGCTTCTTCTTCTTCCACTTCTACTTCTTCTTCTTCTGCCTTTCTTCTTCTTCCACTTCTACTTCTGTTTCTACTTCTACTTCTACTTCTTCTCCTCCTCCTCCTCCTTCTTCTTTTTCTTCTTCTTCTTCTTCCACTTCTACTTCTGCTTCTAC